ACAGAGGAGTGCAGCTTTCTTTGTCAGTGGTAAAACTCTAGGCATTTGTAGGAACACCAACAACAGTCGCTGTCTTCTTGTTCAGAAACTAAACAGACACAGAGGCATGGTGCACTGCAGTCTTTCTTGCCTAGTCATAAACATTGTTCATTTTTGTATTCACTGAGCTCTCCCAATTAGAACACAATGAACTGAAACAAAACGACTGTACGGATTAGTTCAGCACCAATTTGAAGGAATTAAACTGTCACATCACCTGTGATAGGTGGCAGTGAGTTGCTGATAGTCAGTCACTGTCATATGAATTATAGTGACCGCTTGTAATTGTGTGTGTGTGTGTGTGTGTGTGTGTGTGTGTGTGTGCCCTGATGAGTACAGGATGAAAAACTTTGGCTTTTCAGCAAGATTCAATTACTTGAGTACTGTAATTTCTAAATGACGCTACATGGTACATATCAGAATTCCAAGATGTGTCACCCATACCGCATATAGAATTAGCTGAAGTATTGCTCTGGTGTTTGGCACAGAGACAACTTGTTTCGATCAGTTGTTGTTTGACTGTTCGAATGCTCTCTTTTCCAAGAGGAAACCTGGGTTTTTCGGGAGGGCGGCACTGTGGCAAAGTCAGAGCTGGTTATCTCGGCCTTTCATCCCCAAGTACGAAAGGAGCAATGAATGTGAACTTGACATCTGAGCTGCAAAGCATCACCAGCTTCGAACAGAAAGTGCAGCCATTGAGGCTTCAGTGAAGCTGATAAAAGCTGTGTAAAATGTTCCAGTGGATTGTTTGTGCCAGTTCTAGTTGTCACTTGTGGAGAATTTCCACTGCGAAACACCCACGTAACATACAGTGGCTTCCCCATGGAGTTACAGACTCAGGCTGTAACATAAGAGGTCAGTGATAACACAGACTTTGTGCACATCCTTGACATTCATTGGTGGCCATGCCTTTGACTGCTGGGAGCCCTAAGCTCTGCACTTTTCTTCTAATTCTCTTCAGCCCAACACCCCCAAGCTCACCCCTATTAAGACATGACTTAAAACCCACCTCCTTAATGAAGTCACTACTCCCCTGTTATTATATCTCCCCATATGGCTCACTGCCACTTTCTATTCGACAAGACTCCTGGAAGTGCTGTAAGATGTTTTATTATTGTTGATGTTTAACTTGATAAACTGCCAGGAGGGTCAGGTACAGGCAGTGATTGTTTATCCGAATGAAAATATTGACAGTCAGCCTAATCAGTCGAACACTAAACTCTACAAAAGTCCTGCAAGTTTCCGGTTTTTATACACAGCATCACATACTAAATTATTTAATTGTTTGATTAACTTGTAACTCAATGGTCTTTCAGTTACCTTTACTAATTCCGCACAATACATACAACAGGTATTGTATGTATTTTACCTAAAACCTTCTCTACCTTTGTCAGTTGTGTAGCGTAGTAGTCCCCTACTCCCTATCAACACATCTCTGCATTCCTGGCTGTGCCCTTTTGTGTGTTCCCATCCTTCATCATGTTGCTGTGAGTCTGTAATTCTGAAGAAGGGTCTAGGCCCGAAACGTCAGCTTTCCTGCTCTTCTGATGCTGCTTGGCCTGCTGTGTTCATCCAGCTCTACACCTTGTTATCTCTGATTCTCCAGCATCTGCAGTTCCTACTATCTCTGTAATTCTCCAGCTTTGTCCCATTTACTTTTCTCTAAAAGCATGTCTGACTGAAAATTGAATCCTTTAGTAACAGAAACCGATTCAACTCCTTCAATGCACTTTGTGGAGACTATGGACAGTATAAAAACCTGGTGACCAGTGACTTACAGAACTATGAGTTGGTAGATAATAGTGAATTGGGAGTGGCTTGGTGGGAAGTAGGCACAATAGCAAATAAAATGTTGGCCACACAGGTTGGAAAAGCAAGGGAAGCCAAGAAAGATGGTGAACTAGACTTAGGTTTTATTTTATTGAAAAACCAAGGCAGCAGGTGCCAAATTGTGACAACAGTACATATAAAACAAGTCATTGATAATTCATGGCACAGCTATATAATTAAAATTAAATGAAAGTGTAACGTAGGGCAAGGATAGCAGCATTATAAACAAGTCAGTTTACAAACAATTACCAAACACTGCAAAGTGCAAGTCTGCAAAAAGTACCCAGTAGTTTAATTCTAGATGTTGTCCTTCCAATCTTGAGTTGTGTCTGCAGCAAACGTTGGAGTTGTGCAGTACCTGCAGGAGCTACTAGGGGGTGTGAGCACCACAAACTCGCTTACGCTGCAAAGTGCCAGATTGTCGTTAGGAGTTATGCTTTATTCAGTATAAATAAGGTCGAGGTCATTCTGTAGTCTGAGCAGGAGAGTCAAAGCAGGCAAAAGTCATCGGAATCTCTCTCTCTCATTAGAGAGAGAGAGACGACTGGTGGTGATTTAACCTGAGGGTTACCTAGCCTTAGGCAACAGGAAACAGTGAGGAGGAGAGTCCCTCATGGTGCCCTATGCCTGTGTGGGTATTGAGGCCATGCTGTTGGTGTCGCAAGCCAGCTAACTGAAAGTCAAAGTACAACCGCATGCACACCACGCACCACCTCCATGCCACTACTTCCCAGTCGTGCTGCCAGTGAGACCTGTGTTGTCTGTGTGACCGCACACGCTGCCTTCCTCCTGGCCTCTCCGGAGTTCTCTAAAGATATTCACCTTCCAGCTCCCACGAGGCATCCTGCCTGTTTGCGGGTCCTACCTCAGCCTTTTTGCTGAAAGTGAATCACTGTGCATGCTGTAACATCCCTGTTGTATTACCCGGAGTTTTCACAAGCAAGAGCGAAATAATTCACTCTGAGAATTTAAGACCAGGGAGATTTGGCTGGTATAAGATGTCGGTTAGGCCACACAGCGAGAGTATTGTGTACAGTTCTGGAATCCACATTATAGGAGGGATGTGATAGCACTAGGAAAGAGAGCAGAGGGAGATTTACCAGGATGTTGCCTTGTGGGGGCTGGAGAGTTTCAGTTCTTGAAAGGAGATTGGGACAGACTGGGCGTTGTTTTCCTTAGAGCAGAGGAGATTGAGAGGGGAGACATATTTGAGATGGACAAAATGATGAGGGGTGTCGATACGGTAGACCGGAACGAACTTTTCCCCTTGATGGAGGGATCAATGATCAGGGAAGGCGGGGGACATAGATTTAAGGGAAGGGACAGGAAGTTTAGAGGGGTCGTTAGGAAAAATGTTTTCCCCCAGAGGCTGGTGGGGAATCTGAAACTCACTGCCTTAAGGGTTGGAGAGGCAGAAACCCTCATCCCATTGAAGAAGGATTTAGATGGGCACTCGCCATGCCAAGGCTGTGGGCCAAGTGCTGGGAAACTGGGATTGGAATAGCGAGGTGGTTGTTTTAACTAACGCAGGGGGGATTGGCCAAAGGGCCTTTTTCTGCACTGAATATCTCTACGACTCTATGTAACCTTAACAAATGAATGGTTGTGCTGACGTTAGATTTGTAATCTTTGCACTGGCAGCAGACTGGCTGAATATCCAATATCCTCATTACAATGTCCATATCTCAGCCATAAGACCATACGTTGCAAGGCAGCTTAAACAAGTCCCAAGGCCCTGAGGAGATGCTAGATCAATAGATCCACCTACTCTCTCAGGTTGACATAGAAGATCCCTCTGCTTTATTGGAAGAAGTGCAGGGAAGTCTCCCTCGTGCTCTGCACAAATATGTATCCCTCATTCAACATAGCCAAACACCCCTCCCGAAGAGAGGCAGAGTGTCTGGTCACCTTTACATGACGATTTGTAGGAGCTTGCAGTGTGCACATTGCCGTTCCTGGGATCTCACTGTGCACACACATTGGCTGCTGCATTTCCCACAGTCCAGCTGTTAGAAAGAACTTGACTGGGCGTAAAAATTCCCTGGGATGTCCTGAGCAGGCGAATGGCACCATATAAATGCAAGCCTTTGCTGGCCGATGTGAATCCAGTTGCAATATTGCTGCTGCCTTGCTAGCAATAATGGGCTTTGAATTCAGCGAAAGAACTCAGTGCTGGAAGTTGCTGTTAAGGAGATTGTAATCTGAGCACACAAAGTCACCATGGTTTTGTAGAAAGGAGATCATGTTCCACAAATCTATTGGGTATATCAGTAAAGATTTTTGGAAGATATTCAATAAAGCGTTAAGGGGCAACATGGAGATAGGATTGGTGATAGGACAGTAAGCATAGTGAGAGGCCTAATGAGGCCTCACTGCCTACAATCTATACTACAGATGAAAGCACTAAGGGTAGTGAATGCACATTTGCTGAAGCCATAATGTTTAAAAATAAAACATAAGCTAGAGGGGGATCAAAATGATAGTGACAGGTTGTGAATAGTCTGGTTGAGGCAGCTGGAACATAATGTGTCTGGGTGGGTGTGTGTGTGTGAGGTGATTTACTTTGGTAGGCAGAACAGAAATTTTGAATTGCTGAGCAACTATTGAACACATGATTGATTTTTCTTTTGAATACGATCATCAGGGTGGCACAGAGGCTCAGTGGTTAGTATGGCTGCCTCACAGTGTCAGGGACCCGAGTTCGATTCCACCCTCGGGCTGTGGAGTTTGCATGTTCTCCCCGTGTCTGCGTGGGTTTCCTCTGGGTGTTCTGGCTTCCTCCCATAGACCAAAGATGTGCCGGTTAGGGTGGATTGGCTGTATGAGTGGATTAGCCATGGGAAATGCAGGGTTACAGGGATAGGTAGGGAGGTGGGTCTGGGTGAGATGCTGTTTGGAAGGTTGGTTTAGATTCGATGTGCTGAATGGCCTGCTTCTACACTGTAGGAATTTAATGATTCTATGAATCACGACAGAGCTCGAGAGCCGAATGGCCAACTGCTGCTGCAGTGTTTTGTGTTCTCAATGGCTTGGACATGATCAGGTTATTCCAATGCACTGGAAGGTCTAGGGAAAGTGGCTGCAACCACACAATACAGACCATTGAAGACAGAGATGAGGATAAATGTCTTCACTCAGTGGGTTGTGAATTTTTACAATCGCTCTCCCCACGATGGTCAGTAGTCAAGTACATTCAAGGCTGAAAGGAGAGATGTTATGACCATATGGGACGTGAGGGACTTGGGGTTTGGTCAGGAAATTGAAGTTGATAATTATGATTTTATCGAATGGTGGAATACGAAACAAAATGGCCTATTCCTCCGAATTTGTTTGCTCATTTTGAGCAGTGATTAGAGCCAAATCATTCTGAACCGTACTTTGCCTGAAGAGGCCATTGGACTGACAGCAATGAGGGCAGTATTTCATTCATATTGTCAGAAGGGCAGGCACATAGACGATATAAAAGCTTTCAAATCACTTAGTTCTAGCCAGGGTAATAAGCTCCCCACAACCTAGGAAAAGATGACCAGGAAAACTAACAAAGCTCTCCTCATCTAACAAGAAGAGTCAAATATTCCAGTGCCAGACTACGATTCTAAGTCAAAGAGAGCGCTTTCTCTTCTAGCTCTATTGTTCAGAACAAGAATGTTGTTGCTCACACTGAGAAACCAGTCATCACTCAGGTAGGATTGAAATTTATATCGTTTGCTGTCCATCGTCATCTTGAAGAGGTTGGATCTTTCTGAGGCTGGTATGTTGAACTGATTATGTTTGCCCTGCAAGGACAAATGAGAACCAGTCAGAAGGAGACAGTAAGAGGCACAGGGCAGAAAGAATATTTGGGGACTAATTTAAAACACATAGGTTGATGAAACGGTGTGGCAGTCAGAAAAGACAGAGCCAAATGGTTGTAGGAATTTTTAACATTTTTTAAGAGGATGTCTGCTGACGTGAGGCAATGGGAAAAGGCTGGTGTACGTTCCAAGAAATAGCATGGTCTGTATTATTATTTTTCAAACATTAAGTCAAGCTTATTATATATCAAAGATTATATTACCTCAGGCGTCAGTATTAATTGTGGTTTATTGCTTGTCCATTTGCAGTAAAGATAATATTTTTTTGATTTATGCTTAAACACAAAGGACACGTAGAATGGGTGTGAACCCGGGCTTCTCTGAAATCTTACTTCTACAAAGAAAGCAAGAGAATGATCATGTCAAAACAAAGATACAACTCAACTGAGCTCATTTGTTAAATACTGCATTAAGTAATAAAGGTACAGTTTGATACAAGTCCCACATGTTAATCTTGCAACCCTGAAAGCAAAACTCAAGAACAAATTGCAAGATCAATTAAGTCTGAATTAAAATGTAACTTGCTGAAAAGAGAGACATGTTGCTGAAGCTTTTCATCTTGCAGTCATCAGGACCAATGCAAGAATGCCAAATTTCAAACTGTCACACCAATTTATACTGCAGGAAAAAGTTTGCCAATTGGTTGGCAAGCTAATTGTGACTGGCTGAGGGGTTGCCACGGAGAAAGTAATGGGTACCAATAGGTTCCACGACTTCCAGATCATTAAAAAAAGGCTTGAGCGTATTCCTTTTGGCAGAGATTGCGTCACTGTGTAGGAATTTTTGTCACTTCAGGTTAACATCAATTAGCCACATGATGAGTCTTAAGTTGGTTGTTAGTGTAGCTATTAGCACACACAGGATTGTTTAGCAAGTGATACACAGTCACATCTAACAGTGGACGTTTTGATTTGGATTTTGCAAGGTTGAGTACATTCTAGACTCTGCCTATAATAAACAACCAAAGGACCACAGTAATTATCAAGGCTTTTAACCTATTCCATTACTCTTCAGGGCTGATTACACCATTTTATAAACAGTATTCTATTTCTTCCTTCATATTTTCATCTTATAAATGATTTGCTGAATATCCTTAGATATCTAGTATCCCAACTTTCTTCTACCATTTACCATTGAAATCAAATCTACGTATTTAATTTATTGTGTGTACGTTTGATGACCCTATTCTTAACACGAAATCTATCTGCCACATTTTTGCCCATTCCCTTAATCCATCAACATCCCTTTCTGACTTATTCTTACTTATCAAGTTTATCCTGTAACCTTGAAGTCATGCGAAACTTTGCTCTCCGTCTGTTACCTCACAGCACATCCTGTTCCCCTGACAACCCCAGGCTCAGTAATTTACTTTCCAGGCATCGAGCAATGTCTTAGTTATAAAATTCTCACTTTGGTTTTCAAATCTCTCCGCAGTCTAACTATCTCCCATCGCTGTCATTTGTAATCTCCTCCTTCCCCACAACTTTCAGAGATCTCTGCGCTGCTCAATTCTGGCCTCTTGAGCATCCCAGATTTTAATCACACCCCACTGTTAGCAGCCATGATTTTAGCTGTCTAGGCAAGGAAGCTCTGGAATTTCCCGTTTACATCCCTCAACCTCACTTATGTCCTTTAACACCTTCCGTAAAACCAATCTCTTCAATCAACCAGCCTGGACATCATGCTGCCAGAGCAGTTTTTTCAGAAATTTCTGTCTTTGTTTCTGATTTGCAGCATCAGCAGTTTTTTTTGTTGTTTAGTGTTTAACTCACTGCCACACCTTTTCCATGTTCACCTTTAAGAAATTCTGCTTCTCTCTCCAACAGGATATTGATTCTAATCTTTTTTCTTGTTCACCGTCATCATTTACCTTGTCAAACACCAGGAGTGACGAGGAATTTGCCAAAACTCACTTCCACAGCCACATTACAATAGTCAGTGACTGTCTGTGGCTCAGACCCAACCCGTGTGAATTCCAACTGAAGTTTTATCCTTTGCATTTTCAATCCACCTAGGATCTCATGTGTCTCTGTGATATGCAACAGTCCTCAGATAGCTGTTGTCACCACATCCTGAGACCCACACTCAGTGCTATGTGTCACCATATGCACACTCCCCACCTCTCTCTGTATTTGTACTGCCTCACGCTGAATCAGAGCTGCCCTGCTCCCCAGTGCCACTTCATTCTCTGACTCATTCAATGTACTAACGCCCTTTCCTTTCAGGCATCAAGGAACACAAGGTGCAACAACTCAGAGATATCCACAGCCCTCCGGAACCTTCCTCCCCTTCCCTTCCCTCTGACTCCATCCCCTCTCCCAACCCCTACCTCTTGTCGTGTATTTACTATCCCCTCTGACCCTCTGCTATCCGAAGCTGAATGTTCTGTACTGAGCAAAGGTCTTAGCATTGCCTCCTCCTGTCTCACCATGGGCCAAGAGCCCACCATGGAACACCAGGCCATTGTGTTCACAAAGATCACTAATCTAAATTCATCTGGTGATCTCCCCCCTCAACTGCCTCCAAACTCATAGTCTCCCAACCTCCTTCCCAAAATCCATAAACAGGACTGCCCGGGCAGACCCATTGTTTCTACTTGCTCCTGCCCCACAGAGTTCATCTCTTCCTACCTCGACTTGATTTTTTTCTCCCCTTGTCCTGTCCCTTCTTGAAATTTGGATTTCAAGATTCTCCTCATCTTGGATAATGCGCCAAGCCATCCTCCCACCATTGATGTGCTTTCTGAAAACATCAAAGTGCTGTTTCTACCCCCAAACACAACTCCTGTACTTCCACCCATGGACCAGGGTGCAGCAGCAGCTTTTAAAGCTTATTATTTAAGGTGTACATTTAAGAGGCTGATTACAGCCACTGAGGGGGATAAGGATAGTGTTCTTCCATTTTGGAAGACATAGAACAATACCGCACAGTACAGGCCCTTCAGCCCACGATGTTGTGCCGAACTTTTACCCTAAACCGTAGGTCTATCTAACCTCCACCCCTACCTTATGCTATCATCCATATGCCTATCTAATAGCCGCTTAAATGCCCCTAATGAGGCCGACTCCACTACCCTCTCCGGCAATGCATTCCACGCCCCGACCACTCTCTGAGTAAAGAACCTACCTCTGATGTCTCCCCTGTATCTACATCCACTCACTTTAAAACTATGCCCCCTCATAATAGCTACCTCCACCCTAGGAAAAAGTCTCTGGCTGTCTACTCTATCTATACGTCTGAACATTTTGTACACCTTTTAACATTAACATCAAGAATGCAATTGACATTATCGGGAGGCCTGGGGTGATGTCAGGAAGGACTGCTTGCATGCAGTTTGGCAGAAGCTCACAGATTTTTTTCAAGATTTTAAAGGCTTTGATCCAGAGGAGCTCCCAAGGATCAAAGAAGATTGTGTTGATCTTGGAAAGGAAGTTGGATTTGAAGAAGTGGAGAGCGAGGATGTTGAAGAGCTGCCCGAGTCCCACTGTGAAGACCTCTCTACAGCTGATCTACAACAACTTGTCACTGAGGGGGAAGTGGAAGCTGGAGATGAAGTCAGGGATGCAGCACCACGAGAGCTTTCCACTTCTGTTTTGTTTTCTATCCTGAGGGAAATTGAGAAGCAGTTGCAGCTCTTAGAGGACGATGTTTACAATGCAGAACACAGCAGGGTAGCAGTTCATGGAATAAGATCTTATTTGGCACCCTGTGAACTGCTTCTTCATGAAAGAAGAAAAAGGGCAAAGCAGCAAAAACTGGATGTCTTTTTTAAGCTAAACCCCCAGACACAGTCAGAAGACAATGAACCACAGCCGCCCCCTTCTGAATTCACTACTTTTCGCTCTAACGCTGCAACCACAACTGCACCTGAAGGTGTTGATGACCCTCAGCCCCTGCATTAACAACAGCCTAACCTCAAAACCTCCTCTCCGATCAAGTCATCTTCAAATTTTTTTCTAGGTAAGGTGTTAAATTTACTTTTATTTCATTATTAGACATGAATTAAACATTCATTCTTTGTGTTAGGCTTTTGAGCGATTTTGGGTGATATTTTTTGGGTGGTCTGCCCCTAACCCCACTTTTCCCATAGGCCGCATTATTTCTACAGTATGGTTTTCTATAACATGATGTTGTGCAGGAACGTAACTATCGCGTTATAGCAGACCTCCCCCGCCCAAACCTCGTACAAAGCTTGCTCCTAAGGCATGCAGTTAGACAGAAAATTAAAATCCCTCCATCCCAAAGCACGTGCTTTGTCCAATCCTTGGATCTTTTGCAAATTTATTTTCCCGAACCCATCTAAATCCTTTCAAGAAGCTACGAGCCTAGAAAAGAGAAAATTGAAAAGAGCCAGTGTCACTTACCCACTTTAGTTTCCTTTTTAGTTGTACCAACGACAAATTGTTTGTTTGCATCTTGCCTAACAGTCAGTGCTCTGTTTTTTGCCTTCATGAGAACTTGGATGTGATTTTTCATTTTGGTCATCTTCTCCAATTCTGTTGGTGAGCTTATTTTCGTCATACTGTAAGAGAATGAACAGGCTGTAACTCGGAGCACATATTATGTTACAGTCCATAGGGTGTGATGTCACCTATGCTGTTCTTAGCTGGGCCGACTGTAGCTCTACAGTTGGATCCTCTAATGAAATCGAGAAGAAAAAGCAGCCAGGCATTCTTTTTCTGAGCTTTGCTAGATTACTACAGCAAGCCCAACACAGAGATGTTGGCCAGGGAATATGGTCTCCTGTCCATAGAGGAGACGAAATACAGACAGGTGACCACTTTGCAGAAAGCCTACGTTCTGTCTGCAAAAATGACCCTGAGCTTCCTGTTGCCTGCCACTTCAACTCACCACCCTGTGTTCATTGGTGTTGATTCTCCCAGGCTGACCTTAAACCCATTCCTTTGTTTGTCCAACTGTTATTCTCTTTCTCTGGGTTTCGTCTCCACCTATAGTTCATTCCCATCCTCAGCATTTCTACCATCCTTTTCCTAGCTATAATCAGTTCTGAAGAAGGGTCACTGGACCTGAAACATTAACTCTGCTTTCTCTCCACAAATGCTGCCAGATTTTCTGAGTTTCCCCAGCAATTTCTGTTTTGGTTCTCTTTCTTCTAACATTGGAGCCATGCATTTTCCAACAGGAGCCACTGGGTTGTCAGTCCCTCATACAGAATGGTTAGTCGCTACTCCAAAGGGCAAGGATCAAACCATTGAACAACTCTTCACTTCATTTGGGAAGAAGGTTGAGAAAGATAATTAACCTTAATACCAATCTGTTAGATGCTGACTGCATACATCGTGATGATTTACATGTATTTATCAAACACAAAAAGTTACAGAATTCGTTGCACACTCACAGCAACATGAACACTGGCAATAAAGTGAAATCCAACACTGACCTTAAAATGAACCCCAAGTGCACTTTCTTACCTTTGAGATTTTTGCCATCCTTTTGAAAGGAAGTTACAAAGTAAATGCAGTATTTGCATTTAAGATCTGCACATTGTTCACACGTGAGATTGCATCAGCTGGTATGGTTTTGCCTCTGTTGCAGGGGGTTTAAATGTTTTCAACCTACCTTTGTCCCCACTCCACACTCAGCTGAACAAACTCGGCAGACAAATAAGCTCACCTTCTGTTTACAAGGTGGTGTGAAAGAGCGCAAGGATTAAAGGCGAAGTCCAGCTGCGTGTTGTCACTGTCCGTTTGTGTGTTGCCAAAGTTGCAATTTCCAGTACAGCCTGCTGCTGCTGGTCCTGAAGTGTACTCATCCCATTTATAAGCCAGGAAGTAATGCATGTTTATGCAATCCAAAGAAAATTCCAGAACGTCAGTCAAGTCTTGACTCCCCGAGCCCGAAGGGAAACAATTAACTCATAGTTGCTTTTATGACTTCTCTCTTGTTTTTCAGCAGCGAATCAGGCCATTCAGTCCTTCATGTGAGTGCCAGTCTCTGCACCAGCAACTCACCTTGTCCCGCTGCCCTACCCAGCCAGTGAAACCTGCCCCATCCCTTCCTTCCAATCGCTGAGCTAAGGTTCAGAGCTCAGCGCCAAGCCCCTGTGTTGCCTGACGTGGAAAAATATTTTGCCCCTTCCTTCAGTGTAGCTGGGTCAAAATCCTGGAACGGTCACCATAGCATTGTCTGCAGCAGATCAAGATGGCAGCTTTGCTAAGGCAGTTAGGGACTGGCCCAGCCAGCAACATCTGTGTCCCACAAGTGAAAAATACAAACATACACACATAAGAAGCCGGAGCAAGGGTACACCATCTGGCCCATTGAGCCTGCTCAGCCATTCAATAAGATCTTTCTTGTGGTCTCAGCTCCACTTGCCCACCCATTCACCATAGCCCTTAATTCCTTTACTGTTCAAAAACCCATCTATCTTTGCCTTAAAAACATTCATTGAGGTAGTCTCAACTGCTTCACTGGGCTGGGAATTCCACAGATTCACAACCCTTTGGGTGAAGAGGTTTCTCCTCAACTCCGTCCGAAATCTGCCCCCTGCTTATTTTGAGACTGTGCCGCCTAGTTCCAGTTTCACCTGCCAGTGGAAACAACCTCCCTGGTTCTATATTATTTATTCCCTTCATGATTTTATGTTTCTGTAAAATCCCCCCTCTTCTAAATTCCAATGATTATAGCCCAGTCTGCACAATCTCTCCCCATGAGCCAACCCTCTCAACTCTGGAATCAACCTCCTCTGCATCCCCTCCAGTGCCAGTATGTCCCTTCTCAAATAAGGAGACCAAAACTGTACACAATACTCCAGATTTGGCCTCACCAGCACCTTACACAGATGCAGCATAACCTCCCTGTTTTTCAACTCCACCCCCCTTGCAATGAAGGACAATATTCCATTTGCCTTCTTAATTACCTGCTGCACCTGCAAACCAACTTTTTGTGATTCATGCACAGGGGCACCCAAGTCCCTCTGCACAAACTGGGAACAAAAGTAGGCCATTCAGCCCCTCGAATGTGCTGCTCCACTTAATAAGATAGTGGTTTCCACATTTCCACTGAGCGTGATAACCTTCCAACCCCTTGTTTTACCAAGATTCTATCTAAACTGTGCTGTAAAATTATTCAAACTCTGTACTTCCACTGCATTTAGAAGAAGAAAGAGCCAAAGACTCATGACCCTCATTGAGAGAAATAAGTTCTTCCCTTTTTCTTAAATTTTTCTACAGTGAGCCCCTAGCTCTTGATTCTACCACAAGACATAGAGTCATAGAGCTGTACAGCATGGAAACAGACCCTTTGGTCCAACTTGTCCATGCCGATCAGATATCCTAAATTAATCTGGTGCCATTTGCCAGCATTTGGCCCATATCTCTCTAAACCCTTCCTATTCATATACTCATCCAGATGCCTTTTAAATGTTGTAATTGTATCAGCTTCCACCACTTCCTCTGGCAGCTCGTTCCATACACACACCACACTCTGTGTGAAAAACTTGCCCCTCAGGTCCCTTTTAAATCTTTCCCCTCTCACCTTATACCTATGCCCTCTAGTTTTGGACTCCCCTACCCTGGGAAAAGACCGACTGTTCACCCTATCCATACCCCTCATGATTTTATAAACCTCTATAAGGTCACCCCCTCGGCCTCTGACGCTCCAGGGAAAATAGTCCCAGGTTATTCAGCCTCTCCCTACAGCTCAAACCCTCCAGTCCCGGCAATATCCTTGTAAATCTTTTTCTGAACCTTTTCAAGTTTCACAGCATCCTTCCCATAGCAGGGAGACCAGAATTGAATGCAGTATTCCAAAAGCAGGCTCACCAATGTCCTGTACAGCTGCAACATGACCCTCCCAAACAGCTTTTCAGCGTCCACCTCGATCTTGTATGCTTCGATTCAGACAGCTCTGACTCTTCTAAACCCAAGAGAATACAGGCCTGGATTACCTCATAAGGCAATCCACTTGTTCCAGGCCTTAGTCCAGTCAATATGTGAAGTACTTCCAACATATTTGTATCCTTCCACTACACTATAAAGAAAGGAGATGTTTTAGATGAGAGGTACAGGGGGAAATGAAGAAGACTACTTAATAATTGAGTTTGTAATAACTTGCTGCCTACAAGGGTGGTAGAAGCAATAGCCAAAGGGGAATCAGACAGGCTGTCTGGGAAATGAACTTGCAAGGCCACAAGATGGGGTGAGTGGGAGAGACTGGGTTGTTCTGACACCTTCTGATATCTCCAGTATCTGGAGGTCTGGTGGTTGGGGATGGTGTCAGGGTTAGTTGAGGGAGGTATGAGGGAGAAAAGCGAATAACTTGGGGCACACAGATTTGGAAAGGACAAGTAAAGTGCTGCTGAGGTGATTTAGAGAACAGGAAAGGCAGGAGGTACAGGAGGGAAGCCTTTGAAGACAGATGCCAATGTAAAGAGAGAAGTGGGGGGTGGCGGTGTGGCAGCAGCACGGTGGCTCAGTGGTTAGCACTGCTGCCTCAGAGCACCAGGGACCTGGGTTTGATTCCAGCCTTGGGTGACTGTCTGTGTGGAGTTTGCACATTCTCCCCGTGTCTGCGTGGGTTTCATCTGGATGCTCTGGTTTCCTCCCGCAGTCCAAAGATGTGCAGGCTAGGTGGATTGGCTGTGCTAAATTGTCTGTAGTGTCCAGGGATGTGCAGGCTAGGTGATTTAGCCGTGGGAAATACAGGGTTACAGGGTAGGGGTATGGATCTGGGTGGCTTTTGGACTTGATGGGTCAAAAGGGTGCTTCCACTCTTGTAGTGATTTGATGAAACTCAAAGGAGAATTGCACAGCAACAGCTAAATCTCAATGAATTGTATGTTGTTTGATAACTGAGTCATTACATTTATAGGTGATTTAAAATTCTGAAGATGATTCAGTACAGGATAAATCAAAGAGATACAATCATATGTATTGGCTCAGAGGAACAGGGGGATGTTGGGGAGCTTGTTCACAGATTCCTGAAGGTGGCAGGACAGGTTAATAGGGTGTTTAAGACAGGACACTTGCCTTTATCAGTCGTGGCATAGATTATAAGAGCAGGGAGGTTACATTGGATTTTCCAGGACTTTGGTGAGGCCACAGTTGGAGTACTGTGTGCAGTTCTGGTCCCCATACTATAGGAAGGTTGTGATTGCACAGGAGTGGGTGCAGAGGAGATTCACCAGGATGTTGTCTGAGACAGAGCAGCTTAGCGATGAAGAGAGGCTGGATAAGCTCGGGTTGTTTTCTTTGGAGTAGAGAAGGCTGAGGGAGAAACCTGATAGAGGTGTGTAAGATTATGAAGGCATGGACGGGGGAATAGAAAGCAGCTGATCCCCTTAGTTGAAGGATCAATAATTTTAAAGAGAAATATTTAGAGGGGATTTGAGGAAACATGTTTTCATGCAGAGGCTGGTGAGGATCTGGAATGTACTGCCTGGGAGGGTAGTTGAGACAACAAACCTCACAAGCTTTAAAAATACTTGGACGAGCACTTGAAGTGTCAAAACATTCAAGACTCGATGGGCCGAAGAACCCCTTCCGCATTGTATGATTCTGTGATATCGAAAGAAATGCACTTGCACGAATTCTGGGGAGAGACAAACCCAGATGCCATAGGTCCCAGCAGCCAATAACCACTTCGCTGAAGGTCAGACAACACCAGGTTATAGTCCAACAGGGTTATTTGAAATCACAAGCGTTTGGAGTGTTGCCCACTTCACCTGACGAAGGGGCAACACTCCGAATGCTTATGATTTCAAATAACCCTGTTGGTCTGTAACCTGGCATCGACTGACTTCTGATCTTGTCCATCCTACCCAAGTCCAACACTGGCACTTTCACGTCATCACTTCCCTGAAGGGAGAGATTCTTGCCGATAGAGTTGAAAAATATGTCAAAAATCATCTCTACATCCAGCATGTGGAATGTCCAAATAACAATTTAATTCAACATTTCTGTTCCCAGGAGTAATACGAAGGGGGTCGATAGATAGAAAAGCAAGCAGTCCAGCCGGGGAGCAATTTGTGACGACTGGTCTATTGATGGATCAGCCTTTACTTCCAGTGCATGGATAATTGGATAAGTCTATAACTGAGCATAAGAAAAGAGCCAATTTGGTTCTTTTTTATGCTATATTGTCTTACGATCGGATGCAAAAGGCAAGGTAATAATGAGCGATGTTTTGATGACCGACATGTTCTCTCTAATACCAATATGGCAATTATGCCCAATGAAGTAGCCTCCCATAGCGGAGAAGCCACAGGCATACAAATTGATGAACGTCAGAGTCTTGGTTGCAAACCTGACCCCCCTCCCAAACTTCCCCATTGACTTGTGACTTCAGCTCACTGTCCCAGGCTCACTCTGATCCCCTTCAGTATCCCCTGGCAAAAGCTCAACACTGAATGTGAATGTTCAATAGGATGATCCCTGGTATGGAGAGATTGTCTTGTGAGCAAAGACTAAACAGGTCGGGACTCTAACTCTCTGGAGTTTAGGAGAATGAGAGGCGATCCCATTGAAACATATTGTCAGGGTCAATGCTGAGAGGGAGCTCCCCCTCATGGGAGAGTCTAGGACCAGAGGGCACAGCCTCAGAGTAAAGGGGGCACCAACTGAAGACTGAGATGGGGAGGAATTTCTTCTCTCGGGGGGTTGGGAGTCTTTGGGATCCTTGCCACAGAGAGCTGTGTGGGGGTGTGTATATTTAAGGCTGAGATCAATAGATTCTTGAATAGTCGGGGAATCACAGGGGGACAAAGGGGCAGGAAAGTGGACGTGAGGAATTTCAGATCACCCACGATCCTATTGAATGGCAGAACAGGTTCGAGGAGGAG